GAAATACAAGGTCAAGCCTGCAACTAGACTGCAGTAGGTCCTGTAATTTAGACTTATGCGTAACATGGCCAAGGCTGTAACTAACATTCTTCTGTTCTAGGCAAATACATATTGAAGAGAGATGAGGTCCTACAGTCTCAAAGCAAATCTGAGCAATAAAAACTAACCTATGAGCAGTAAATCTGTGAGCAGTGTATTTTTGTCCTTCATGTCTGTCTCTTCTTCCCAACCGTTACAGTAACCTCTTCCCCTAGAAAACACCTGCCAGGAGAAAAGCAACATGCACAGTGGCATTAAAACCATGTATGTAGCAAGCTGCCTGCTATTAAACAGAATAGTTGGGTTCCCTCCGCCTTTCCTGTCCCTGCTGGGCTTGAGAACAAGAGCGGAAGAGCGAGTGCGCGCACTGATTTTTGGTATTTCTGTATGCATTCCTTATACAGTTGTTGAATTTTCACCAAGCTTTAGTGAAATTCTACATTCTCACACATCTGACTGAATTTGTACATCAGCTCAAAGCAGAGATCTCTGATCTTAGAGTCAAGTGAAACACAACCCTCTTCTATTTCCAGGGAAGCCTTTAACATATTTTTTAGCTCTTTTGTTTAAAAAAAAAAAACTGAAAGGGTAAGGTAGGCCTCTCTATAACAGCACAACTGAGTAACTTAAAAAACAAGGAAGTTCAAATCTCATTACTCCCCGGGACACAATTTTCCCTCCCACTTGTTGTTTCCCCCTGCGCCCAGAGGAAAGGATGGGGGCCAAGGAGAAATGACAAGCACAGGCCTAATGTAGTGACTGACCAAGGCACCGGTTCAGAAAATGTAGTAACTCTGTATTGCAGTACAACTAGAGCATTGAAAACATTTGAGCAGCTGCAGACACATAGCTGGTTGAAAGTTTCTCTCTAAACACATTTTAATTTGATATGAAAAGTATGGTACCATAAATCTCTTAGCCCCATTGAATAACAGCATGTCCAAGAGAGCACGTAATCAAAATTAACATAAAAATGAAACAGCAGGAGGCAGCTCTTCTAAGGCCTATCCAGCTAGGGTTTTTTGTGAACACTGCTTTGTTTGCATTTAGTGTTGATGCAAGAGAAAATAAGTTAGCTAAACTGAAACTACATGAAACGCTTAATACCATTTCACTCAACTCCCCCCCCCAAACCAGCTGAAGTGTGTAATACAAAGCCAAACAACAGAAGAGACAGAACAAATAGAATACTTGAAAAGATAAAAATACATGCATATAAAACTGCATTAGTACAGCTCAATATACACAGAATAAAAGCACTTGTCTATTAGGAAACAAGTTGAATAAGCTTTAGAGACTCTTTCAACACATACTGGTCTACTGCAGAGTTTAATCCCAAACACGGGAAAGCATGCCTCACCATTTTCTTCCCTTTTAGAAGGCAAAATAGTTTGTTTCACAAGTTAAGTCTCAAGTAGTTTGATTTTGCAACAGCTCTGAAATGAAAATGTTGGTAAGGACTAGGGACAGTTGAGGTCAGCTGGTAATGCTTTTGTTTCTTTTTAATGAAAACTATTACCTGCTTCTTTGTTATTACATGCTAATCGAGCTTCCTGCCTAGCTATAAAAGTTTTTTGTTATTTACTCATGAAACTTGAATGACATCGACTCCTCCTCAGCAGGAGTTAATGTTATGTAGTTTAAGCATTACATATAAGACAAATACCTCGAGGTGCTTATTCAACTAGTATTGTTTCATCAAAATCAACACCACAAGGAGCCGAGTTGCTCGGTTAGTGTCCAGAGCTTCCTTGTACTGTGACAGCAGTGTCAGCCCCAACATGTCGGTACTACACTCAGTGATAGATGAGCCCAGAAGTCATTTTCAGACCTGCCAAAAGTGAAGGACAATGAGAATGCTAACAATTTAATTATTTTCAGTAGCACTCTTAGCTTAAGCGTAGATTAAGGTGTTCAGAGAAAACCACCCCCCCCAGGCAGCACAAGACAGAGTTGGTAAATTTGAAAGCATTAGACACTGATCATTTTGTGCGAATCAAGCTTACTGTTGAGGAAATGTATGTAATATATTCACAAAACATACTTTGTATTTGGCAGAATTAGAAGTCCGTAAAAAAAGAAAAAAACAGAACATAAGAATTAATCACAAAGGATTTTAAAAATTTGCACCATGCAGAGCTTTCCAAATGTGTAACACCCTAGTTCAATACAGTATTTCTACAGAGGAACATGACTAATATTGAAAATAATTCACTATCTAGGCGTCTACTGGCAAAGATGAAAGAGATGCCACAGGCATTAACTCAGGGGACAAACCATAGCAGCAAATCGGAATGACACCATAATATGTGAATATTACATTATTCAAGTTTGTCAAAACTTCCTGATAGGTCAAGAGCTAGTCACGGATAGGATGTAAACCGCCCTGGTTATCATCTATCTCTTCTTTCAGGCATCTGAACATGCCAAGTTGACAGTAATCAAAATGCTGGTAATTTCCAGCATGAACACAAGGAAAATGCTATGCTTGCAAAGCAAAATATCAGTGGAACTACCATGGCAAAGTTAGAGGAAGAAGTCTGTCTGCATAAGGTCTACCTCAGAGCCACCTCTTCATATTTAAAATACAGACTGAATTTACAAAATGGTAAGTGAACACAGGGACGGGCACTAGCATTCACTGAATCTCAAAATACTACCTGGAATACTGTCTCTGTGAAGAAAGTATCATCTCTGTCTTTGCATTTACGCTGTATGTAGTAAATTTTGGGTGTACCTGTAATGTAAATGCTCCCATTAGTCTCCATTTAGCAAGCAGAGAAGGAAAACAGAGAGAACTACACAACAAGCGGCATGCAAAAAAACCCAACCTTCCTAGGATCAAGTTTCAGTAATGCTGTGGTTTGAGCAACCGATGATGCAGTTTTGTATCCTCGACAATTGTGTCAACCCTGCTATGCTGCCTTCTCCCACCTGATGTTATTACAGCAGAATAATGGGGGGGAAGAAAAAAACCCAACCAAAAAACCACCACCAAACAAACCAGCCTGAAAACTACTCACACAACTGCTCCCCTTCACATTTGTTTCCAGCTATCTTGCTCTAAGGCATTGTAACAAAAAGACCTTACCCATGAAATACCGATTATTTAATAAAAGCTAAGGTGAAGCTTTGAATGAATACAATGCAGCTCTCTTTTGAAAGAAATACACAGCTAGTTTACGCAGACATATAAAGACTTTTCCCTGTCCGAAGTACTACAGTTCAATTGAATGTTTATGGGTATAACTTCCAAGTCAAAAAAATAGCTCAAAACCTTTCAGTTACTGAAATAACTTTAATACATGTGAACAAAAAGTACATCTATCACAATTGGTAACTTGGGCCTTAATTACAATTAATTACTTCGGAATTACTGCAGTCCACTTTTTTCTTCCATTAAGAGACAAAGCAATCTAAGAGATGTGACAAAAGTGGATTAAAAAAGTTGTCATAGGTAAGCTAAGAGCAGAAAGTTTTGAAGTAACTTAATTTTGATTTGACTGTGTCTTTAAAACTCACAAAATCTATTTTTCAGGTTTTATTATGCAAGTCACATGAATACATAGAAAGAGGAAAAATGTTTAACAATACATAAATATGAACACAGCGCAACTTTCAGGAATGGAAATGGTTGAGCAATTTGCATAAATTATCTCAATTAACTGTTCTCAAAAGTAAAATACATATTCAAGAGGTTTTAAAGCTTAAGAAAGTTGTGAATTGCGTACTCATACAGACAGGAAAAAAGTCTACTCCCTTCAAAAACAGAAATACTTGGAAACAAGATTTCATGGAATGTTGTAACTTCTCAAACAAGTATCCTGAGCTAGATTAATTGAATTAGGGAATGGGTACACTTGCATTAGGTTTGCAACTAAACTAGAGCCATCTTTTGTACTCTCATACCAGAATTCAAATTTTTTACATCACAGCTTCTTGGGTTTTGCAGTATTGAAGCCTAAATAAAAATGTACTTCACAGGAACTCATCTGAAGTTTTTTTGGGTTTTTTTTTGTTTTGATGTTGGTTTTGGTTTTTTGTTTTAGTTGTTTGGGTCTTTTTTAAACTAAACCCCACCACCTCAGCAAAGCTCCAGACAACGTACTTCTACTGACAACGTACTTCTACTGACAATGCTAACACTGAAAGCAACAAACCCTCTAGAAATACCTTACCCCCAGGAGCTTTAGTCTTTTAAGGTAGCAATAGTGATGCCATTAACTACTTAAAATAATAAGGCCAGAAACAACTATATACTTTTGACTGATGTTTCATATTAAGGCCAGCCTGAACTAATTCTAGCCTCTCGCCTAAGTGAGTTCCTCTCTCTCCCCCAAGTGTATGAATGGCACCATATTTTTGGACAAAAAACCAGGTAATAGTCACATTTGCAATTAAATCCATTTACTATTAAATTCTAAGGATTTATGTTACTAGAATTATCCAACTACCGAGTTTCAGTTACAAGTTTTCAGGCTTGCAATCGTGTACCTCAAATTCCTAACTCTAGAAGACACTACTCCTAATAATCCACAGTTCTCAAGTCATAGAAAAGGGGCAGTGATGCCCTACAGTCCTGTACTCCCCACTTAGAATCATAGAATCATTAAGGTTGGAAAAGACCTCTAAGATCATCGAGTCCAACCGTCAACCCAACACCACCATGCCCACTTCAAAGAGGTTACTATAAAAGAGTCACTGTATTGATCCAGTTTCAGTTTACACCAAGATTATATATTCTTCCCTTAATAGCAGGCCCACAAATTACCTGTTACAAAAAGACAGCCTGGAGAAGAGGACATAAACCCTACTGATAAGCATAGACAAGAGAGCTCCATCTGCACTTTGAGGCCCTGCGTTCTTAGAAGCTAACTTCTTCCTTATGTAGTATCCCAAGCACACCATCAAGGTGTGCCTTCCACTTTTCAATTTTAACAGTACTTAAGAACAATATAATAATTTATCTGAAATCTGTTTATTATGCTTCATGTTATTCACGATTTCTAATAACAAAACTGTAGTAAACACTTAAGTTGTATTTTGCCTTGCACAGATGGTTTCAGACATAAGATACAAGAATGTTACAGCAAAAGGACAATACTGAAAAGGTGTCAAAGACATGGGAAATTAAAGTTTTACTGTACAGGCCAATAGTAACAAAAATGCATCAACATTTCAATACAAAAGTGTAGGAAGCTTGCGAAAAGGTTTAAGTGGTGAAGGAGAGGTTCTGAACACAACAGCAGCACTCCACATTTTGGACTGTCTGTGCAAATGTAGCATTAATAAAATAGCTGTATTTAACAGAGGTAGGGAAACAGCAGATAAAAGCTCAGTTCCTACTGTGAAGTCACAGGCCTGGCGTCATCTTGTTAAGAACAGGGTTTCTGCTACTCATGGAAAAGAGTCAGGTGTAGAGTTCATGCACGTATGCTACTCTGCAGCTTATGCTAGTGTTGCCAGCTTGTCAATTAAATCATCAACGGTATTCACAAGAAGTTTTGTATCCTCCTTCTCACTCATCCGATGTTGGCCAATTTTGCGGAGGATAACATCCACATCTTTGCTCAAAACACGATCAGCAACTTGCATAGAGATCTGCCAAGGGACATCACCATCCTTCATGCCATGAATAAGTCGTATAGGACATGTTATAGGAATAGGACTATTTAGCACACAGTGATTTTCTGCTTCTCTGATAAAGTCATATGTCAAGGAATAATACCCTTCCTCATTATGCTTTGTTGGAAACTTCCATTCACCTTTTTCCTCTATTTCTTTTTGTGCCTATAAAAAAAAAAAAGAGAGCAAAGAATAGACAAGACAGATGTTACGAGTTCTTTACAGTGCCTCAATCTATTTCTGTTCTAAATGCAGCAAAACTTCTCCAGGCATAAAGTTTCACTTTGTCCATTTTTATTAGCAGAGAAGGTACATTCCTGTTTGCCTTCCAGCATCTGAGAAGACAAAACCCCTACCACGCCACAAAAGCTACTCTGCACGTCTCTCCTGCAAATTAGTCTAGTTAGGATTCGCCAATTAAATTAAGTTTCTCAGCCAGAATCTATCAGAAAGAAAAAGATGTATAGCCACAATAAACAGTACGTCTCTCTGGCTTCAATCAGTTCACTGAACCTCAAACGAGGAGAATCCTAGGAAAAAGGAATTTTCCAGTTATCAGTCTTTGCCACAATAGCTGTGTCTAAACACTGTATTTCCAGAATCTTACCTTAGTCTTAAGTAGCAATACTGACACTACACAATACCTTACAAAAAAAAAAATTCAGGAAAATATTTTAATTATCCTAAAGTATAAGCTATTTATTGCCATCTTTATTTGTCACATTATAACACATGATTTTCTTTCCTGAAGACTGGACATTATCATCATCAGAGCTGTGTTTAAACACTGTATTTCCAGAATCTTACCTTAGTCTTAAGTAGCAATACTGACACTACACAATACCTTACAAAAAAAAAAATTCAGGAAAATATTTTAATTATCCTAAAGTATAAGCTATTTATTGCCATCTTTATTTGTCACATTATAACACATGATTTTCTTTCCTGAAGACTGGACATTATCATCATCAAGGAAGCAACTCATAAGGAGACTTCCTACCACCTAAATCTTACAGTCTTCACAAACACACTAATCTGAAGAATTCCCCTTCCACACGCAGAACCTGTGTCAGATTCATCTCATCCAATGTCATGTCAATTGTTTTAGCAGCTACTTCTCCATCCTTGAAAGCACAAGGATCCAATTTGAATGCAAATATAAGATATTCAACACTGAAATCTAATGGACCGCTGAACTGCAGGGATCTGACTGCACGTCCTGTATGCCACAGTAATAATATAAACACATTCTAGGCAGTGTTCACACTAGCTTCATCCTAGAAGCACAGTATTTTGCAGACTTTTAGATTAATGTAAATTTTCAGCTTACCTCCACCACAAACACAGAAAAATTACCAGAAGATTTGCAGAAAAAGTACAGTTTGAACAACAGAATTTCCTAAATGCTTGACAGATTTTTTTAGATTGCACAAAAGCCAACCATCAGCATTTACCTCAATGGGAAGCTTCTTAAAAGTTGTTACAAGATGGTCTGCTGCTACAGCTACTCCAACTAGAGCAGCTACTTTATCTGGGCGTGCTATTGCAGCATGAAGCATCAGCCATCCACCCATGCTGGAGCCCACCAGAATCTTAAAAGAGAGAAAATAAGATATTATTTTACAGGAAACAGCTAATTTATTTTTTCTTTTACCAAGCATCCGTTTTCATTTTGTTTAACTACTTAAGCCTTGGGCATAATCCTGCTGTCCTTACCCAGGCAGAACTGCTGTCACCTCCAGTGGAAATTTTGCCTGAGTAAGCACCACAGGATCTGGTATTTTATTATTCTTTTTGTTTGGCATGGCTGGTTATTGCTGTCTGAGACTGAAACACTGTAAACAAAATGAGAGTTGAAATAATTCAGTATCACAGGCATACTTTATGTTTCCTTCCTAAAATAAATGCACATGGTAAAGGCTCAGTGCAGTGAAAGAGATCAACAAAAGCAATTCATAATACAAAATTGTTTTAAACACAATATTAGGTATTTCCAGGTTGCAGGAGATTTCAAGTTTCTCACAGTCATTTCTAAAGTAACTGAAAAAGTTAAATGCTGCTTCTGCTGATTTTTTTAAGCTATTTTATCATATAGAGTATATTAACTTGTAACATTCCTGCAAATCCTTTCATTAATGCATCAGCATTGGGACAGTGACACCCTTTTTCATGAAGAGGGCTGCGCTGCACTGGAACAGTTCCCTGTTCCCTGTCAGGTGGAACCTCCACCATGAGGCTTTCTCAGACTCCCTGGGACAACAGCCCTGCTCTGAGCAGGAGGGTCTAATAAATGACTTCATGGAAGTCCTGCCAAACCATGTTTCCATGATTTTGTGATCTACCTGCTTGCAAAAGAGGTCCTACGAATATGATCTCTGAAATGATTCAGCTGGAAAGCGAGCAGGTGTAAGCTGTTAAATAGAAGATACTGTTGACCAGAGCTATTATGGCATATTTTTGATTAATGTTCTACCTTGAGGACAAAAAGCATTCAATACTTAAAAATAAAATATAACCTGTGGTCCATCTGTAAGTTCATCCAGTATAGACAGAACATCTTTTCTCCACTTCCCAATTGTACACTCCTTAAAGTTACCATCTGAACTTCCACATCCTGTATAATCAAATCTGAAAAAGTAACCATCAAAATGAAACTTATAGTACTGTCTACAGCAACACAGAAGCTAACTAAACAGTACTGTTTAATCAAATTAAGCTGGGGACAAGGTATCACATTGGATATTTTCTTACATGGTCCTGCATATCACTAGCACCAGAAATCACATGAAAAGAAGTTTAAATACAACAGATACTATTAAGTGATGCAGCGTTCTCTTGCTATTTGATATAACAATACCCAAATTTACCAGGGTATTTCCCAGACAAAAAAATTCCCTTACAGCCAAAACGCAACATACTTCAATTTTAAAGGTATTTTTAAAACGTACAAACTCTCTTTCAAACTCTGTTCCCAACTACAAAGACTTAGGAAACTCAGCGTTCAACCTAATCTATCAAAGGAGAATATCACCAAGCATGTGCGTGTTCCTCTAAACCCACAGAAGGCACTGGAGAGCTTCATAAGCTTTGGCAGTTAAGAAGCACACTTACAGTGATAATTTACAGAAATGAGGGTCCTAAAACTAAAACTTCTAAGGTTTTCTTTTCTTTTTCATTTTTGTGCCTATAGCCTTAATGTAACACATAGCATTGGCTAGACTACAGAAATTTATCAAAGAATTTTCTGAATTACTTTCAGAATACATTCTCCCGATTTACCTCGGGCTCTCTACAGACAGAAAGCCTACATTTGAAATGGAAGAAAGACACTTCTTAGCTTGTGTACAGCACAGCATGCATTCCAAACCAAATGCCAAAGCTTACATATTTTTGTTAAAACCCCTTCCCCCAACCCATGATACTTGTTTCATTTTCTCAAGAATGATGCTCTGAATGTACCTGACGAAGGCATGACCTAGAGAGTTGCAGAAATCTTCAAGGGCAGTTGCTTTCTGACCATTCATATTTGAATTAAAGCCTGGAAGGAAAATAACCCCTGGATTCCTGCCTTTTAGTTTATGATAAGCAAGACTTGGTCGATCTGGTCGAGTAAGAAAGCTGACTGATGATTTCAGCCTGCAAACTAATAAAAAGAGCTATTTAGTACAATCATCATGATAAATTTGGCAGAAATTCTAGTATTTTATAAAATTAGGATTCAGGAATTATGGGCATATATGTGAAAATAAGACACTTTAGCTCAAGAGGAAAGAAAAAAGTATCTCCTATACTTTTCAGTGACTAACTAGTATTGATCAACCTGGTAGGAAAGCTGATTGTAATTAATTCTCAAATCATTAAATGCCAGCCATGTAAGGAGTTCACTCAGCAATTAGCAAAGTGGCCGACTGAAGCCAAATGCTAAGATTTCCTATACTTCGGAAACATTCGTCCTCATGTTTTATACCACCTTCAATACATTTACTCATTTCACATGAAATAAGATTTTTCATCTGCTTAGTTTAACTTTTTATTTTTCCTTCTTGTTTTTCCAGACTAAATTTAATCAAATATATAATTTTGGGATTAAAAAAATATATAATTTTGGGACTAAAGTACTGTGCGCAATGGTAAGTTTACAAGCACATGAAGTGACAGATTTTTCATCAAAAAGTAAAACTGAAGGTCAAAACTTCATCTGCATCAAACCCCCAGATCCAGAAGATGTATGAAGGAGAAGTACAATGGGAAAGTTCAAAAGTGGGAATTGGGAAAGAATCTTGTGACTAACTTTTTCAACACGATGAACGTAAAACAACATTAGCATTGTTTAAAACCAAGTGAAATAAATAACATCTAGCCTTTTTCATATCATTAACAGCTATTTCTGCTTAAGTTAAAGATTATTGCCAGGAACACTGAGAAAAGGCTCATTTTAACACTATGCCATCTTAACATTAGTCTTTTTCTCAGATATGAAGCACAGAAGGCAAAAACCAAAATAAAGCCACATTTTCTGTGAATACAGAGCCATACATTAAACACATTCCGTAAGAAGAAACAGACTTGACCGTTGTAGAGCTATGATTTTCTTATGCATCTCCAAAAGAGGCACAGATATCCCATTACATGGTTTGGTGTATTCTTGCTGGAGAGGTTACATTATTCCAGTACTCAGATTGTTCTATGTTTATCCAGAATGAAATAGCACTTTGCAAACCTAAGTATTTTGCAAATATTAAAGAAAATGAAAGATCATTTAGCACAACTTCTGTCAGTGATCTGCAACATATTACATGAAAGAGAAATCTTCCTATCAGCATAAACTTATGGTTTGGTCTTCTCTTGCTGGAGAGGTTACATTATTCCAGTACTCAGATTGTTCTATGTTTATCCAGAATGAAATAGCACTTTGCAAACCTAAGTATTTTGCAAATATTAAAGAAAATGAAAGATCATTTAGCACAACTTCTGTCAGTGATCTGCAACATATTACATGAAAGAGAAATCTTCCTATCAGCATAAACTTAAAAATGTTTTGTTTTGTTTTAGTTCAAGATAACAAACCAGACACATTTGGAAAGCAAACACTAGGTTGGACTCTGTTATTCACATTAATAACCATCAAAAAAATTGAGTTGGTTTCAAACAAGGAAAAAAGATTAACAAAGGAAATGCTAATGAATAACTACGCTGAATCTCAACAGCTGCTACAGTATTTAATCCAAGTTTAGCAGTCAATTATACCTCTACTGTGGGTGAGGGCAACTGATTTGTAGAGAGGTGTTACGGTGACTTAATCCACGCTATTATCCCACTCAGCAAGATAATTTGTTAAACTGAAAGCTTGGTCGAGATTTCTAAGACTTTGATACTCTTGATTCTTAGATTAGAAGATGACTGGTTCTTCAATACTGTAAATCAATAGTGGGGTACAAAAACTATGCAACCCCAAATAATACATCAGGGCTTCCTAGTGGTATAATAACTGGATAAATACTGCAAAAACAGGCCGTGACAGTATCACACCACATAACTGCTCTGCAGCTTTGAGTTCTGTGTTCTCACTAACAGAGAGATTACATTCAAGGGGTTTTGGGGGTTTTGTTCGTTTTTAAACTTGCACGTGCACGAGTAAATCTGGAAGCATAAAAGATGCAGGATGCAGCTAGTATTCAGCACTTTCCTACAGTCTAACAGAACTTAAAACCATTAAATCTTTCCTGAAACGATGGGACAGATCTTTATCCTATTGATGTATCAATTATTATAAAGGGGAATAAATGCCACAGTAAAGGTTTATTTATTCAGATGCATCCACACTATGGATTTTGGTTTGTGTGTGTCTCTATCAGTAAGCCAGTCACTTCTTCACCTGCCAGTAACAGAGGAGATACACCAAGAAGTGCTAAACTTGATAGAAAAAGAATTAGGAGTATTTTTCTCCCCCTTAAGCCCTGATAACCATCTCTGAAGTCACTGGTTTTCCATCCTGCAGCACTCTGGACGTGCCCTCAAACTGTTTTGACACTGGGCAGGGTTTAAACTGCAGCTACAAGACACAACTGCTGTCTAACCTATTCCACAAAGTTGTATTCTGCAATTAACAAGTTACCGTAAATACACCAGCAGCAATCCTAACCTGAATAATGCAACACCCTAAAGCAACCACACCAGCCAATCCAAAAGCAAGGCTCACTGGAGTCACGCTCTGCGACTTCCCTTTACACAGACAAAAACATCAATAACTGAGCAGCTACTCAGTAATTTCTCCTCCTGATTTCAGTGAAAGACCTTGGCAAGAGCAGGGAAGCACTTCTGAAGGGTGCAAGGTGGTACTTAGTATTTACAGAAGCAAGTTACAGACAGCAGGAGCTAGCTACAGGAAGACCACAGGTCCCTTGCCTGATGCTATGGAACTCTCTTCACATCAGAAACACTGCAATTTTAATTGTGTTATGACCAACAGAAACTGTGATTGAGACCAGTGCTACATGTCAAAGCCAAAGAAATCCTCCGAACAACCTTGGGAATGCTCCAGCACTACCAGGATCTACCCACTGCCAACGGCAGCAGCAAATTAACACAGCTCTGGCAGATAACGGACTCAACATTGTCCACGCTTCATTTCATGCAATTGCCTATGCTGCCAGAGTAAGAAGGCCACCAGTTCCGCCAGCAGGAACTGCTGCTTAGCTCAGTCTCACAGCACCTAACGGCACACTCAGTAACCAGCTATTCTGATCACACTATCACTCTAAACACACAGGAAGAAAAAACATCGACAAAAGACCACTGTATTTGTGTTTTTATGCAGATAGAAAATGCACACCCTTAGCGGCAAAAGTTTCACTCACTTCTACGTTGCACAACCTCAGATGACGTTCATTACCTCATCAAGAAGAGCAGTTCTGTGTCAAATTTAAGGCAATTAATAAACTCAGCAAGGCAGACAAGCACTGAGTCTAGAACAGCAAGAAGGGGCACTATCTGTTTGGGCAGAGGATCATCTCACTCAAAAGAGGATGCCAGCAAAGCTTTTCAGGTACCTGCTGAAGCCGCACACGTACGCATGCTTCACATCCAAGCAAGCGAACGGGCCCGCTTCCTCTTATTTCCAGCTCCTCAGAACGCAGCGGCGGCAGGAGGAGCTGGCCGCCAACTAAACACACCTGGGAAAGCAGCTGCTCCGTAGAGACGCACGGGCGTGCGCGGTACCCGCCCTCCCCTGCGCACACACACCCAACCAGCCCCCTCGGGCTTGGCAGGGGGGGAAAGGCCTGTCAGAAACCCCGTCCCTCGGAGGGGAGCGGAGATTAACATCCCCGTCCCCGCCCCAGGGTACGCGCCCTGGCCGTTCCCGATCGGTGTGACACGGCGCTGAAGGGGAGGAGGGGGTGCCACCTCCTGCCGCCCGCCCCGCGCTCTGCCGAGCGCAACCGCACCTCCCCGCGGCCGTTACACATGGTATCTACCAGCCACGGACACGTATCCTCTCCCCTCTGACTGACACCCCCTTCTCCCCCGGCCTCCCAGGCCGGCGGCGGAGGAGGAGCAGCGCCGGAGTGCCAGCAGAGGTGCCCCGAGGCCCTTCCCTTACCCGGGAGCCCCGAGGCCGCCCTTAGCGGCGACAGCAATATCACCGTGGCCGAGGCAC